AGTAAGAGAAGAAAAAAATAATTGAGCAATTTTAAAAATTAGCCACCATCAGTCGGCGTCGCGTGTATAATAATAATATCAACAATAATAATATATAATAGGTAATCTACTCATCGCTTCGGAGAATAATACAACCGCAACCGAGACGACGACGTTTCGAACGGATTCTGTTGCGACGGACGTCCTTCCATTGTCCGCCGGGCTCACTCATTGTGCATGCACATGGCGTCGTCATCGCGCCATCGTCGCCGCAATTATTATCGCCAAATTAATTTTTCAAACGACCATAGAATAATAATAATAATAAAAAAAACCCCGAAAGAGAAAGTGTGATATTTTTTTTTATCCGACAACGTCGCGTGTTACGAAACTGTGGTCTGTCCACCCGCGGTTTCTGAACGGGACCAACGATCCGGATGTATTGAATCATGTGTCGAACATTACCGCTATTAGGTATAATATATAGGTACGTTCTTATGGGCTCTTGTGTATATTGTATTGTACTCTGTTTATATTATTATTATGCACGCACGTCATCACGTAGTCACAGAAAAACAATGTAATAATATTACTGTCGCGGAAAGGCGAAAGCAGCGTTTCTCATCGCCCCAAACGCATTATTATAATATTGTAATATATTTGTTACAGTTTGTTATTATCGCATTTAAAAACGTCAATAACGTATGACATTAAAATCAATGCTGTGTATGTGCGAAAAACACTTCAACTCGTGTTTCGTTGTCATAATAAGCAATTGTATAAAAAAACTAATTCAAAATGTGTAATTTGATTGCCCGCCCGTGTCACTAACGCACTTTATCGTGTATATCATAATTCAGGGACTGGAACCTTGATTTTTACGGTTCCGGTTCCTATTTGGTTCCCAGAAAAAACTAATATTTAGGTTTCGGTTTTTTTTCGGTTCTTAAAAAATAAAAAAAATTGTTACCTGATTTGGTTTTTTACTTATGAAAAAATATTTGTCAAGTAGAAGTATCGGTTCCCGTTTTTAAATTAATTTAAATAATGGTTTCGGTGAGGTTCCAGTCCCTGTATCATATACGTCGCTTAGTCGAGGTATTCTTTAAGTAAAGCCGAACACTATATTTTAAATTTTTTTATTCCTCAAGAAGATCTCTAAGGAAAATGTTCGTGTGGGGAATAAGTCATATAAGTTCACAGTTTGAAATAAAGCATTAAATAGTTAATAAAATATTAAATACTTACAATACGTTTTACTCAAATAACTAAAACATCAATACAAAAAATAAATATTTTTCTCTATATCTATATATGTGTAAGAAGTATTTGTTATTATGTATAAAACCGTGTAGTTAAATAATACATATAGAGCTAAAATACTAAAATACTAAAATTATAAATCATTATTATTAAAACTATCATCTTATAATAAATGTAATAATAGTAATGCAATAATCCTATATATTCCAATATTTGTATATAGGCATGTATATTCTGTTCTTGTAGAGTTACCACTTGCCAACGATGTGTAATATACGGTCATATATTATTATATATTATTATATACCTATAATACATGGTGTTCAAAAAGTTTGGAAACTGTCATCTTTAGACTTATTACACTAATCAAACTGATAAACGATAATATGATATCATTAATAAGCCGATTAAATAATGTAGGTATAATAATATGCAAACAGTATAATTAAAGAGTTTACAAATTTTTTTTGAACACCTTGTATATAATACTATATTTGGTCATATCCTTATCCATTTCGAAACTTTCAAGCCCGCGGGACGACGGGGTGTTGATTGCAATAATTTACAAAAATATTGCGTATATTGTATGATATGGGCAGGACCTACCGGAACCGGGCTTTACCCTCAGCGCCGTTGAGTATTCGTTTGCGGGATATCGCGTCGTCGCATTAAAGTCTCCGTCGCCGCCCCGAATTACTCGCGCCAAATTTAATGGCGTGCGTGTAATTGAAAATTAACGAGCCGAGTTTAATCTCCCGTCCGTCCAGTCACGTCCGTACGGCTAAGAATTAGAAAGTAAACACGGACGCACATCTCTTCGTACGCGCGCGCACATACACACACACACACATTCACATGCAAGCACACAAACACACACACACACATACATTCAAACTTACTTAGACACGTCGGCAATAATGAGTGTATGTGTGCGTGTGAGTGAGTGTGTGTGTGTGTGTGTGTGTGTGTTAATCTCATCCGTTTCCGTTTTGCCGAAACAATGTTCACACCGAATGCGCGCTATATATCGAGTCCGTGAAAGCGCCATCCGTTTGGGCTGAAGCCTCTATAATATTGCATAAGTACATTGGAAAGGAGTAGGTACTTGTACGTTGTATAGGTACGACTATATACGTTCGTTGGGCATGAAATATTCGCCGGACGACTTGGCCGTACGACTTGGCCGGGTGGTCACTCCAGGTCGGCATGCCGGGTGGCCACACACCTAACCCGAGGTGCCCGCACATATTATTATAATAAAATATTTCATATAGGTACCAACGAGATATTATAATATTGTAGCAGACATTATGACCAGGTTAGGTTGTATATTATATTGTACACGTGGTATATGGTCGTTGAGCCACCGATAGATTTAATAATGATATTGCTATATAAAACCGTGTAACCACCAACCGTCCAGCGTCCGCGCTAATGCGAAGAAATATTGATTTATTTGATTCTCACGCTGTCATAATAGTTGAATCTAGTCTCCGTTTGAATTATGAATAAGGGGGAGGGGGGTAAAAACAAATATTTCAAGGTTTGTTTGTTTACACAGTGTTATACTGTTACCTAAATATTATAGGTAGGTACCTACAGTAGACATTGCGAACAAGGGTTGAATCATATCATATATATTATTGACTTGTATTTTCTCACGTAGCTGTAGATCGAATCTCATTGGTCGAAATATTATATAAGTTATTATTTTCCCGTCATAAAGAAGAAAAACAAAACAATACATCGTAATACACTATAGCACCCTAGTATAATGCTAGAGCTACTAACATATTATAATGTTGTTGTGTTACGCGCTTTTGTAAATCACGTGTTATTTAATTTTGTTCGCGAGTAACTGTGTGCCATTATAATGTATTCGCGACAATTTAATAGCAATAATAAAACACAATATTATTATAATATTACCTATATGTACTCGTAGTGTGGACTGCACCGTCGTGTGAGGGATCGACGAAACGATTTTGACCTTGCAAGGGGTGCGGCGGAATAAATATTTACATCCTACTGACCCATATTCATAGGCGTGCACGCGGTTCATTGATCTTGATCTTGGAGAACAGGTCCTTTTTACACGAACATTGAAAGTAATTCGATACATATATTTACACACACACACACTCATCATATGGGTATATATCTGATTTAAACCGGTTCTAATCGAAACCTCCGGATCGGTGTTTCTTTCTATTTTCAACATGTGTATATTTTCTCCCATGGGCCATTGTTTCTATTTTATTTTTTATTATTAAATATTAATTTACCTCATTGCAAGACTATAATAATAATAATATTATAGATATGATGGCAAGTGTGGCGACGAATATTCTGCGCTGTACACACGTTCGCGTCGACCAATTATTATTATTATTATTATTGTTAATGTGATTACTTATACATTATTATTAGTCATTATCATCGTTGACCCGCCCAATTGACAACAATCGTTTGAATATGCCTAATGATGGTTGGGAGGAATCTCCCCGGATGGGAGATGGGGGGGGGGGGGAAGAGTCAGGATGAGAACCTCGGGCGCCGCGCGTTTCGGTCACGATTTTGTGTACGCGAGCGTCCATTAACAAATTTAACGGATTGCGAAAAAAATTTTTCCGTACATAATATTTTTTAAATTCTCGGATCATGATACTCGGAAGATATTCATACCTATTGTAATAAATACCCTTCAGTTTTTTGTTTTAAGAAGTTCCTATAAGGCACACAGCCATACAGCTACACAGCCACATCATATACACGTATATTTTGTTGTTCATTTTTCGTGAGTTCAATTAAAGAAGGGAGGTGGTTGCTTAATCACGTCCTGAAAACCTAACCTAGAAATCCATATCGTTGTCAAAATGTATCTATACAGCCATTTCGGCCATACGAAACCATCGGCTATAGGTTTGCAGTGGCTTACAGTTTTTTTGATCAGTGCTGAATATCCTTCGGGTGGTGAGTTTTAGTTGTGTTAACGTCTGTGACATGATGATATCCAATGTATGTGCAGTGCTTGACGCGATGAACTCTGCTGCGAAAAAACCTCGAAAGAAACGAAAACAATTTATTTGTAGAACGGCCTCCATATATAACGACGCGGCTAAAATATTATAAGGGAGGACGCGGCTCTAACGCACATTTGTAATAATACATTTTATTATACACTCGGTCTCTCTCTCTCTAATTGGCGTTCCAAAGACGTAAAATATTTGAAAGTGCAATTGCAACGGACGCACAACTATACGCTATATATACACAACGAGAGATATATCTCCACCCATCCGCCCGCCCACCCACATCCCGAAGACAGTGAAAGCGCCTTACTTTCCCGGTCGACTCGAGCGCCTCTAGCGGCCCGCGTGTTCCAGATACATATTATATATTATTTTACGTTTTCCAAACACGCCGTTTTGCCCCGCCTCCGGCGCGTCCGATTCCGATCGTTCCGGATGCCGCGCGCAGACGACCTTCACCCCGAAAACGTTTGAGATCCGGTCTCCGAATACTATTGTAAATCGTAATATTGCAGTATATTATAATCTCATAGGATATATTATTATATATAATATTGTATTTATATTACCTATATACTATTATACATTTATACGCACGCGGGGTCGACTGATTGAGACGCGGCCCCCGTTTGGATATATAATAAGGATCGTAATATAATATTAGGTATACCTATTACAGTTTCTTGGTTTTTTTGTTGATAACATTCGGTTTGATATTGTTTACAGATCGTTCCGTCGGGTTCACTATGAAGAGATGCCTGAGGCACCAAGTGTACATCGTGTTCCTCGGAGCTCTGTTGTTCTTACACGTGAGTATAATAATATTGTTATATTATGGAATATCAATTTGCTTTTGTATTTTATAGACCCCCTCGAGTTCACCTATAGTGTTTGATATGATATTATTATATAATAATATGACAATTCCATCGACGTCCGTGTTTCATTATAATAACAATATTAGCAGCATATTAATATTATGGTTTCCAATATAAATGTTCACGACATGCAACATTAATAATTAATAATTTCTAATTACAAATTACAATATTAGGTGCCTATGTTATAAACAATTTAAAAACAAACACATACGTTCAAATTGAGTGCAATGAATATTATTTTCTTTTTTTTTTAAGATTGTTTTTACAACGTAGAGCTGATTAACGTTGAATAGGTAGTTACTCCATGTAAATTAACTGTATCGAGAAAATAAACTAAAACGTTTTTATGTTATATAATAATAAATTATATGGAGTAATTTTAAATTTACATACCAAAACATTTGTTTTTCTTATTCGGGTTAAACTGTTCGCTAAAAAAAATCTCAAACTCACTTTTAAATTTTTATTTCGTAATAATATTATGAATATCGTAAGAAAAAATGTATTACAGTAATATGGTAATATGTACCTACTATAAGTGGATACTCTAATACTTAACAGTTTAATCGATTCACGAGATCACGCTATGCATTATTAATTATTATTGGTATAATGCATTGCTATATATTCAAATCTTCCTAATAATATAATTATAATTAGCATTTATTACCGTGAAACACGAAACGCGGGTTTTCATCGTTGTCTTAATTTTATGTTCCCATAAAATACACACAAATACGTACAAAGAATAGTTGAGCTACCAGTGTCAATAAAAATAATAATATTCCGTAGGTTTTAGGCATATATTATAATAGTATAGCCGGGTTTAAGTCGACTGTACTGTAATTTCGGATACTTGTTGTTGTTATTATACTATTATAAGCATTTATACTACACTGTCAGTCTCGAACACCTCGTACAGGTCATATCGAATTTAGAGTACCTTAGTATTGGGCGAGACACAGTACCAATAATTGCCAAATATGAGTGCTGACTGCTGACCTGCAGCAGTAAAATTATATCAAGGTGCACTATTCATCAAAAAAAAATCTAATTTCGTTTATTAAGAAAACAATATAATATACAAAATTATATTCAAATATTTTAAAACCCGACGATCCCCTAAAAAAAAATTGTCTGGTATATAATACATTACGGCCAATAAAAGTATATATACGTACGCTCTCCAAGTACCTCATAACGTGGTTTCAGTAGCTTATCTATAGGATTTCTTAAAATATAAACATTATATTTCACTACCTATATATAGATTAAAATATAGTCAAGCTAATAACCATAACACTCGCTATTCGATATTTTTCCTCTACGAGAAAAATCTATACGAACCATACAATTGATATTATGTTTTTATTAATATGTGTGGGACGACGAAAACCTTACAAAAAACATAATGACAATATATTACAATAAACTAACAATTATTACAATCGTTTGGCCTACAGAGCACCAGCGGCGATGGTAGCCTGGGGCCGGAGAACAACAACGCGGCGGCGCTACCGCTCGAACACAGATCCGGTGGCGGTTACGATGTCGGACTGCCACTTCCGTCCGGCGGTCCGCTACAGGGGCCGCATGACGACACGTGGCCGCTGCAGGCCGTGCCGGACGCCGTCAAGATCAAACACCTGCAGGTGCAGTGCGAGAAGACGCACATGCGAGTGAACATCGAATTCGACAGGCCGTTCTACGGAGTGATTTTCTCTAAAGGTGCGTATATATACGAGTAATAATGACGTTATTGTATTATGCGTACACCATCTTGTTCGGATTTCAACAATTTGCAGTCGACGGCCGTGGTTTCAGGGGTGTCGGACGTGCAATTTGAGTTGGTTGGGGGTGAAGGGCTTCCGAAGGATTATTCGGGACGTATAGTCCTCTCGGAGACTTCGGTCGGAAAAAAGTAATTTTTTCAAATCGGAATTTTCCATTAAGGAGTATACTATTACGTGGTCTATTCAAATTATTTTAAACGAGACCCAATAATATTATTGTTAATTATTATATCAGCAATGCCGATGGAGTACGGGCTGTAGCAGAGGTATTATTCGTTTCACAAACACGCTATTCGTATAATATACTTGTTATAATATAATTCCGTCAGTAAATTACATAATTTAATAATTATCACTAAAAAAACTGTATACGTTTATACCGGGTGCACGGAGGATTTAGAAAACAATTTTCGCCACAGCAGGGATTTCATTGACGGGGCAAAAGATCTCTGTTATAATTGTAGGTATATAGATCCTCAACGAGGCATATCCGTCTACTTATACTGCATTACTCCACCCATCAAAATAACTTTAAAACGTACATATATTTTCAATTCGTCAAAATCACATTTTTTAAAAATGAAATATAGTAAAAATAGTCATTGAGGGGCGAAACACTAGGTATTCTAATAATGATATATTATATTTCGTGACGGACGGATGCTATATGGTATAATATGCTATAATAGCATACCTAGTACACAGAAAATATAGTATCATTAACGGCGCAGGTCGAGGCGCGGCGGCCCTACTGCAATATTTAGCACAATAACCACAATCACTCGATAGTATAACATTATTTAATATATTATTTTATATTAGAAGAATGGCCGTTAAAAACTATACGACGAAACGAAAAAACAAATAAATAAAATGGTACACAACTCACTATGATAATTGATAATAACATAATATAATGGTTTTTCATATTTTTGTTACGCCGCCGCCGCCGCCGTACACGTCATCTCTCGCTTGACCCGTATTTAGAGCCCCTATACACATCTAAGCACACCGCTGACCCACTAAATGCCCGCGTATGCGTATTTTTAATTAATATTTATGAAACTTCTCGCGGAGCCACTCTCTATCGCATACACACGCGTACTATTTTATTATTATATATACGCTGAAAGTCGCATACTGCAGTAGTTGTAGTAGTAGTAGTGATTGTTGGTATTTTATTTTTATATATATATTTTTTTTCGTTGTTGTTTTTACTCTAATTGACCGCTGCAGCTCGTAAATCGTAATTATCGGTCCGTGTATTATATTATTATGTGTACCGTATTATTATGATATTATAATATATTATTATGCTTTTCCAAAGTGGTTTCATACAATTTATTAATGTAACTACTATATACGCGCACGGTGATGGGAGACTTCCCGCGGTGCCAGCTATTTGACAAAAAAGAAATCGTTTACTTCACATCTCACACGTACTCCGCGTATATCATACGTACATTGTATACATATTAATTGTGTACACCAAACATAATGCAAGTGTACATTCAAAATATATGCCGAGCCTAAACCGCGGGGTTTTATATCATACGAAAATGCGTTCTTCTTTGTACCTAATTATAATGGCACGAGACACAGCAGCCGTTTTCCGTCATTACTTTGTAAAATCTATTTTTGAAATCGGACAAATTTTGGTACGACCGCAGTGTCATAATATCCAATGGCGTCTTTTTCCTTATAGATTTTTAGTATTACCACATTCTACTTCCTCAAGAATTAACCTAAATACTATATTAAATACCTAAATTCAGACACAAAGATATAGTATGAGGAGGGGAGTGGAACAAAAAATAAAAAAAAACCTTGGACCACGTTATACGTAGAACTCAATAGTAAAATGTATGTTTCGTAAACTTGCATAATATTATACATTTGACGATTAGTCGTAATACGCAGTTATAATAAACTTGCAGCAGACACTATACTAATAATATCTACCAATGAAATAAATATACATCAACTAAATAAACGTAACATTTTCGCAGGTTTCTACAGCGATCCACACTGTGTGCACGTGAAACCCGGCACCGGTCACCTGAGCGCCACTTTCGAGATACTGTTGAACAGCTGCGGCATGACGTCGTCAGGCGGTGCTGGAGGCGGCGGTGGAGGCGGGGCTGTGTCCGGTTACGGACAGACGCCCAGCGGCAGCTACGTGGAGAACACCATCATCATCCAGTACGACCCTTACGTGCAGGAGGTGTGGGATCAGGCACGCAAGTTGAGGTGCACGTGGTACGACTTCTACGAGAAGGCGGTCACGTTCCAGCCGTTCCAGGTGGACATGCTGCACGCGGTCACCGCTAACTTCCTCGGCGACAACCTGCAGTGCTGGATGCAGATCCAAGTGGGCAAGGGACCGTGGGCATCCGAGGTGTCGGGCATCGTGAAGATCGGGCAGACCATGACCATGGTTCTGGCCATCAAGGACGAGGAGAACAAGTTTGACATGCTGGTACGCAACTGCGTGGCGCACGACGGCAAGCGAACGCCCATACAGCTGGTCGACCACAACGGTTGCGTCATCCGGCCGAAGATCATGTACAAGTTCCAGAAGATCAAGAACTTCGGGCCGTCCGCGTCCGTCGTGTCGTTCACGTACTTCCAGGCGTTCAAGTTCCCCGACTCGATGAACGTGCACTTCCAGTGCGTCATCCAGGTGTGCAGATACCACTGCCCCGAGCCCAAGTGCCCCGGCGACTATGCACTGCCTCAGCACGCGGCCGACGCCACCGGCGGTGACTACGCGTCCCCCGGCCTCAATTCGGTGCACCCCAACGAGTACGGACCTCCACCACCGCCACAATTGGCCGACTACCCCGCATATCCGGACCCCAGACACCCGTCCGGACCTGCCGGCGCATACTCCGAACTGAAACCGGAAATAGTGTTGCCGAACGCTGCGCCGCCGTCGGCCAGCAGTCCGAAACCATCGCAGGTGGACGCAGCGGCCGCGGCCGGTGATGACCGCAATGACGGAAACGACGCCGACGATGACGGTTTGAACCTTCCACCACCACCGTTACCCGGTCACGGTGCGTCATACGCCACCGTCAAGCGACAGGGCACCGTCGGCGGTGACGAGCAACAGCAACAACAGCACATGAATCTGGTGTCGTTGGGTGGCCGTCCGCGGTCCGTCGACATGGACGCCGCCGCCAAGCCGCACCGACACCACCGTCGGTCCACCGGCGACCCCGAGCTGGACGTCAACACCAGCCGCATCATACAGGTGGTCGCGCCCGGCGACGTCAACTTCGCGTTAAACGTGCCCAACAGTGGCAACGGCACCAACGGCGGCGGCGGTAACGGCGACACGGTCGTCATGTCCACCCGGTCCGGCCACTCGGCGGACAGCGTGTGCATCAGCGTCCCGTCGTTCGTCGCCGGTCTGGCCATGCTCCTGTCCGTGTTAGTGGTCGCATGTCTGGTTGTCACGTTCCTGTTCTTGAGGGTCCGGTCCATGAACAACGCGAAGGCCATGTCGTGCGGTGCACCGCCGTCCGCACAGGGACCGTACATGCACGGCGCGGCCTTCGAAGCGGCCGAGTTCGTCAAGATGGCCAGCACGTAGGGCCCTCCGGCCACGCTGCGGGCCACCCGTCATCAGCTTAAACAATCGTTTTCCAACCCCAAACCCCATCGCCCCCAACCCACACAAACACCCCCTCAACTTTAAAACCATAATAATGCGTAGGCAATCATAATAATATATATATGACGAAACCGATTCTGATTTTTCATTCGCGCGCACCGTGATTTTGTGGAGCAAAATAACAACTAATAATATCCATTATCAATTATCTTCATGTCGTTATCACATTGAGCACGAACTGGTTCTCGTGATCTTAAGTATATAATTATGCCCAAAGACAATAACGACAAATCGTCCTTAGTGTAATTTCCTGTGCGTGCGCGCGCACACAATAATTGCGGTACCTATTTTTAACCGATCGTCAAAATTCAATAAAAAAAAAAAAATTCATAAAAATATATAATGTATATCATAGGTGTACCTATGCGTATAATACATAATATGTTCATATGATACACACTACGATGCGCAGAATACGGCGCAGTACACTATGTTCTGTGCAGGGCCCTCGGACGTTTACAGCATTTCATGTTCCGACACGATAAACGTCCGTTTAAGTTATTTTATTTATTTGTAAGCACATCTACTGTAGTAAGCAGTATGACGAATGACGTACGAGCAATGCTCGAATTAGATGATAACCGTATTAATATTATATTATATACGGTCGAACTTGGTTAACTCGAACTTCTATTTAACTAGAAATCTTCGATCCCTCGAACTCTTTCCCCTAGAATTTTTTTACAATTGTATTACCCTTGGATAACCCGAACTTTCTGGCCGGTCCTTTCAACTTCGAGTTAACCACGTTCGACTGCAATTGTATATTATAAAAAGAAAATCGTTCACAATAATATATTGTTTGTAAGAAAAGGCGAGGCGACGGCTACTCCGCTGGGGCCACATCTAAACACTGCAATAATTGTTGCTTTAATAATATTTTATATCAATTTTTATTACAATATTTTATTTTATCGAGTGAAATAATGGTCGTAGCGGAAGCCAGTCGTCGAAATACAAAAAATTACAAATCTTATATTTCTAACACGACAATGATATTATAATATTATAACGTGTAATATTATTATTATCATCATAAAACATGTACATTATTTTTTTTTTTTTTATCTTTGTAAATATTATATTTATGTATAACATTAGTCTTAAAGATATTATTTTATAGCGTTTAAAACAATATTATCATGTATACAAAGATCGATATATTATACTACAACAATACCAGCTTTTAATTACTATCATCATTATTATAGGTATATTATTACTATTATTATTATTATTACCCTGATAATAATAAGTAATAATACGCCTACGCATTATAATACGCTAGTATATATGATATAATAATATTGTGTTTAAGAGAACTATAAGTCTAAACCATTATAATAATAACAATAATAATATAATTTATATTTATAAATGTATAGTGTTTGTAAACACAAGTAATGCATATTATAATATTCAACTGTGTATGGGATCTAAGACGTCATGTACAGATAATAATAATAATAATAATAATAATAAAAAAACGTAATCAAATTGGTCGTGAATATTGTGTAAATATGTATATCATATACCTAACAATAACACATATTATATGAAATATATATATATCGCGACCATAAAATAATATTATATAATTATCTATTATTAAAACATATGCTATACTTTTATAAATAAATATATATTTTTTTTCAAATCGCTTTTCTTATTTTATGTACAACCAACTCGATATTTTTCATCTACAAGGAAAATCTATTGATCATATCATAATAGGTATATGTTTTTGTTAATGATAGTAACCATTATGACAACCAATACCAAATGGTTTTCTATCAACGTAGAGATCGCCATTTAAATGAGTAGAATAGCTCATTTTGATTCGACAAAATAAGCTCCTTCCTTTTAAAAATATATAATGGTAACATAAACGTTTATTTAAACTGTTTTCAATCCCTTTCCTAGTTGGAAAAAAATATTTTTGATAATTTTTTTTGTCATAGTTATTACTCGATTGTGCTGTAAACTATCTAGCTTAATTTTGAAGTTCGCTCGAAAATCTTTCCACCTCAAAATTAAAAAAAGTAAAATTTGTATTCAAAAAGACATCAACAGGTATGCCGCCGACACCTAAATTCGAAAAAAAGTAAAATTTTTCAATTTTCTTCTTATTAACGTATATAACGCCATTTAAATATGTAGTATAGCGCAGTTTGGGGCTTCAAAATAAACTCCTTCCTTTTATAAATCTAAGAAACATAATCGTCGTTCTAAATACTGTTTTCTTCCTTTTGACAGTTAAAACTAATATATTTGAAATTTTTTTCTTGGCAAAATTGTCACTCGACGGTGCCGTAAACTATATAGCTTAGTTTTGAAGTTCGCTCGGAAATCCTTCCACTGCAAAATTAAAAATTTGTCTTAATAAAGCCATCAACACTCAACAGACAACAGGTATGTTGTATAAACCTATTTTCATAAAAAAGTTAAATTTTTCAAATTTTTTTTTCTATCAACGAATAGATCTCAAATAAAATAAACAGTACCTATATAGCTATATGTGGCTTCAAAATAAGGGTTTTCCTTTCAAAAATCGAAGTAACATGAGCGTCATTTTAAAAACTGTTTCAAATTGTTACTCAACAGTGCCGTTAACCAACTAGCTTAATAAAAGCCCTTAAGTATAATATGAAGTCAATGACGAGGTCACGAGGACGTTTATGATGCCACTGATCCAGGTGTCACACAATGCTTTGAAAGTCTCTTTTTGGAATACGGAAAAGTTTTAGAATGCCGATGATTTGAACGGAAAATAAAATAATTGAAAAATATTTATTGGGTGATAAGTAATAATGTGTACCTACACTGTTTCCGGGGCCATATGGTATTAATTGCTTATATTATATTAAATTCTATAATAATTTTATCACACACAAATGGCTTCTTAATACAAATTTTACTCTCACTGAATATTGTAGTGGGAGAATTTTTGAGCAAACTTTAAAACTGACACCGTCGAGTAACAATTTCAATAAAACTAAATTTTAGGAAAGGGTAGTAGGAAAGGGTTGAAAACAGTTTTTAGAATGACTTTCTTGGGTTTATAAAAGGAAGGAGCTTATTTTGACGCCACAAACTGCGCTATACTATTTATTTTAATGGCATTCTATACGTTAATTTGAAAAATTTGGATTTTTTTCGAAGTTAGGTATTGGCGGCATACCTGTTGATGGCTTTTTAATACAAATTTTACCGTCAGTGAATTTTGTGGTGGAAGGATTTTTGAGCGAACTTCTAAACTAAGGTAGATAGTTTACGGCACCGTCGAGTGACAATTTTGCCAAAAAAATTTAAAATATATTAGTTTTAACTTTTAACCGCCAAAGGGATTGAAAACAGTATTTAGAACGACTATTATGTTTCTTATATTTATGAAAGGAAGGAGCTTATTTGGACGCTTTAAACTGTGCTATACTATTTATTTAAATGGAAATAATATATAAGTTGATAGAAAAAAAATGTAATGAACCGTTTTTGTGCTACACTAAAAATACTCATTGAATTTGTCAAAAATTGATATTGCTTCGCTTCGAATATCTAAAATAGCAAAAATCAAAGTCCACTCTTACTGTAGGTATTAATTTGAATATTTGATTATAATTTACTAGTAACAAAATTAATATAAATAACAATATAATATATGCTACGTTTTCTACTAAAAATATTTTTATTTCAAAACTTGTATTTACTATTGTTTTGTTTTTAATTATGTTACAGTTATTATTCATAGTATAATAAATCAACACCTAACATCCAACCACCCACCAAACAGTGTATGTGTTGCTGAAGCATCACATTGACTATGGGATCGCCGCCACTGTTCTCAATTATGGTAAAAATAGATTGGTCGTGCGTTACCTATAGTTATCTAGAACTCTAGAGTTACCTATTTAATAATATATTATTACAGTCTTCATATTATTCGGAGACCACGTCATATAGCTACACAAAAAAATGACTTATCGTTGTCAATAAATTTATCGTATATTTTCCTGGTGGCCAATAATAATATTTGTAAGTATAAGATAATATCAGAAATAGAAAACATTAGGTATTATTGACAACAGATATCTTGATACAAATTGAATGACATAATATTATTTGAAAAATATTTTAATGACCACACGGCGTTATGTATAGGCTATTTAGGTACGCCACGGTCGTGGATATAGGGTTTTTCGGTAACTTGTAAAGTGTACTTTTTTATGTTTGTTGATTTCAGTTGGGTACTTTACTTTCTCTGCAGGTACGCGTACGTTTACCTGATGGTTATTTTTATAACTTGTGACATAAGTATAAATGTACAATAATATGTTCGGGTCAAGAATATAATTCACATTATATTTATGAGCTAAACATATGGACTCTAATAGGCTAACTTAATTCGTTTTAATGACATTTTCATTTGTCAAAATGTTTTATTTTTCTTTATAAATATCACTTAGCTTAAAACTTAAGTATTGTAGGTACTTATATATTCAACAACAGTATCATTATGCTGAAGGGGAGTTTCAAACATATTATAACTATTGTTATTTATACCTAATTATATTATTTGTTTAGCTAAAATAAATTTTATATTATTAATAGTCTATGCGTAATTATTATTAATATTATTTTTTTTTTATTGTTCTTAATTAACATCAGCTACAATGGCCATTAGTTACAATTTACAATTACAATTTTTTTTTTTAATTTATTATACAGTTTAGTTTTGAGTAAGAATTTAAGGATTTGTGTGGTGGTGTCTGCATTTGGTCCGAGTGCTGAGTCTGTACTATTGTCTGTTAGTATATTTCAATAATAGATGTTCGTCACAATACTCTAAGGACTACCTAATTGTATTATATTGTTAGTCACCGGAACAAATTTAACCGGAAACCTAAAATCTAATAAATTGA